TTGGACCTTTTAATGGGTCTCCCAGTTAGATTTCTGATTTGGACATTCAGCGACTAAATTGAGCCAAATCTCCTCCTAATGAATCAGCTACTGACTTTGCACAGCCCTACCAGTTATATACAAGAAGAATCCTTTTAGATAGACTCCCTGTGTGACCTCAAGCAACTAACTTAATGTTTTTTGTGGCACAACTGTTTACCTGAAAAAATCCACAATAACAATACTTTCTTTTTCCTGCTCTTTGTATTATATATATTCCACAAATTTCTTCAGTGCATAATTCACAGTTGCTTGCCATTTGCTTGCTATAAATAATTGCATCTCTTGCTACACTCGGCCCTGATTCCTGCATCCACATGAATGAGTGCAGGAGGCCAATAGTTGCAGGTGCCTTAGTTAATTACTAATTAATGTCCCTGGATCTGTTGACTTACTGAACTTATGAACAAAGAGTTTAACTTGTAAATTTTACAGACTAGTAGGTAGATGACTTGAAGTTTGCTTCCAGCAAATATTTGAACTCAGAATAATCTAGATATTCATACAAGTAAAGCTTCATCCGTGTTTGTAGTAAGCAAACATGAAAAGGCTGGGAACACTATAATCCATATTCTTTTTTAGATTTTTCTGGATAAACATGGAAACTCTTTTGCTTACTTTCCCAGCAGCTCCACACAGCACATTTCAGAATTCTGTACCTAGGGAGGCAGGTATTAACAAAATGCAGTAACCTCTCTATATTAGGGTTATAACCAATTTCTGTTGTAAAGCACTACCATAGGAGCCCTTACAGGTTTGGACTCTAAATCCTTAGTTCTAGAGAAGAAAAAGCTTTTTTAGATTCCAAAGTCTAGTAATACTCACTTTTTTAACTTCATGATCTCGTGACTTGTCTAGCCTATTTTCTTACATTGTAAAGTGGACTTTTATTTGTGGCCACAGTAGTTAAAAAAAAAAAAAAAAAAAGGGAGGGGGGACACCACAAACCACAACAGATTCTATAAACCTTTGTTTTAAAAAAATAGTGAAAGTTATTAAGTGACCATGAGATCTTTGTGTATCGCATTATTTATTATGAAGTTTAAGCATGTAAAAGCAAGGAAGTGACAGTGGCTCTCAACCTTTTTAGAGTCAAGGAACCCCTTGATAGACTCAAGGCATGTGTCAGAAAACACCATCTCTTAGTTTTCACTTGCTTTTGACTATAGAAAAATTACAGAGCAATTCTTCTGGTGCATAGAACTCAGAAAGACCACAGCAGGGCAGAAAGTTTTTGACAGTATGGATTCCTATTTGAAATCTCTAAGTTTATCTTGTGACTCATGTTTGCTAACATTGTGCTTAATAGTACTAACATGGTGTGGCACCCCATGGCATCCTTGACAGGATCTCAAGGCACCCCAGGGTAATGCAGTACTCTGGTTCAGAATTTTTTATGTAAGACCACCATAAATATTACATTTATCACATTGCATGTCTACACAACATACCTAACTAGTCCCAATAGCTATAGTACAGTTCACTATTAAGGACAGTATCCAGGTTCAGGTCTCTGATTTGGTCATCGGAGGCTAGAACTTTGGAGCTGCTGAAAACTCTCAGCTCCCTGGAAAGAGGAAGAATGGGTCTTTCGTTGTTCTCTTCCCATGCCCCACTGGAGGTAGACATGGTGAGAGGCAGTACCTAGAGATTCTGAACATGACTATCTTTCTCATCTGAGGGGGAAGGCCAGCTTTATGTGAGTTTCAAAATAGAAGGAAAAAAATAAATAATTTCCTGGGGCTTCAGGAAACTTCTGAGATGGAGAGAATAAAAGAATAAAAGGAAGGTCTTCTTGGGACTTCAAGAGAGAACTGGAAAGTGCATCCGAAGGGGAAAAATGCTATGAATGTATTTTACTGCAGGGCCCTTCAAGGCATTCATCTTCCATCTGTACCCTTGATACAGCTAACCTTCCACAACCTGCTAAAACTTGAATGCTGGACATACTGAAATCTGTGACAGAGCTCCCATGAGCTTCAGTGGAGCCTCAACTTTCTTTTATGAAGTTTATACTGTTACTGATGCAATATGGAGATATCTTCTGACAACGTCCAACATTGAGTTCGTGATATAGCCAGTTCTGCAGTATCCGTGAAATATAGATACTCAGCCCTATAATTAATATCAGGCCTGTGAAATATAAGTCTCTTCTTTGTGAGTGGGCAGCTGGACTTTTGCTATATCTATTTCAACGTTATATCTTTATATTTAATGTATAAAACAAAGGCTTCACAACTCATATTTCCTAGCTGGGAGGTAATCAGATAGTCACCTGTCAAGGCTTTGAGACCATAAAAAAACAAGTTATCATCTGAAAGATCTAAGGCTGTCACAGGGCAGATTTTATAGTCATATATACGACCAACCTCTGCTATCACAGTCCTTTCTTTCAATAATAAGTAATCCAGGCTGGTCTTAAATTATCACACAGGAGGGTTAAAGAAGAATCTAAAATGTTATTTCCTTTAATACAAGATTTTTAATAAATTGTGAGCTTGAAACAAAAGTAACTTGTTAAAAGATAGAAAGATGTTTTTCCCTGGAGCTTTACAATGTCACTTGTACTGCAAGGACTCATCTTAGGCTGTGATTCACATACTTTGTGCTACTTCAGTGGTTCAAAATAGCCTATAAACACAAAGGCTCTGTTTTGAGATCTTTAACAGGCCAATATGGGAAAATTAGCAACTTATAAACTATAGACACAAATGCAGGATAGATGGCTTATATTTATGTGGTGAGGGGACATTAGTGGTATATATCCAATCTGGTCTCTTGAGAGATGGATTCACAGGGGTTGTGCCAATATGGAAACACTCCCTTCTGCCCATACCACTACTGTCCCTGGCTGATTCAAATGCAGGGGGAACCCCAGAGCCACACCTGCAGCTGTGCAGGGCGCTAGGTTTAGCAGGGAACATCAGTAGCATCATTGAGGTTCCTCCTTCCAGAGCCTGCTCACAGCCAGTGTGGGATACAGAGGCAGGGAGGGAGGGAGGGAGGAGGGCAGGGTGGGAGTAGGGGCTAGAAGAAGAAAGTTGTGTGCTAGTGCCACTGTACCCAGCTGAGTCTGGCTCCCCATATAGCTATTCCCTGGAGCCCCCAACTGGAGGAGGGCAGGAGTGGCTCCAGCCATGCCTTGCTCCCTTCCCTCCATTGCTGAAGGGGCAGCATGCCATGCCCCCTTGTAGTAAATCCTGGATTTGTCCATGGGTCTTTTGTACTTAAAAGCATACCACCTGTAACCAAGGAAAGACTTTGCAAAGGCTCAGTGCACTGAACGCTAAGTTCTAACCACTGACATTCACAATGGCCATAACTGAGTGCTGCACACCTCTGAAGATTAGGTTCTTATTTAGGAGTCTAAATAGGAGCTCAATACTTGAGATTCTGCCCCCGAGTTTCTTGGACGATCTGACTTACAGTTTCATAGTTTCTAGGGTCGGAAGGGACCTGAGCAGATCATCTAGTCCGACCCCCTACCATGGCAGGAAAGAGTACTGGGGTCAAACGACCCCAGCAAGGTATTCATCTAACCCCCTCTTAAAAACCCCCAAGGTAGGAG